TGTTACTAAAAATTCTGTAATTACTTTATGTCATTGTAGCATCAAGAGTAAATCACCAGCTAGGAAACTATGATTACATGCACACCATCAAGGAAAGTTGTTTCCTACATAATGTGACCACAATATTTGTGTGGCAAAGATAAGCAATCATAGAAATCTTGTCAATGTAAACTGAATAAAACCATCTTAAGCAGGTTAAATAATAGTCTAGATTAAATTTAGTGAAGATGAATTAAACAATCTTTTAGTCAAATTACCAATTGACTTGACAGTACAGCTTCTATGAATACACTCAATCATATTCAAAAAGTTTGTTGCAGAATTATTTATCATGGAAAATTGAAATACATTGAGGAATACTGAATACATTAATTTTTTACATCTTAATAAAGTAATATATGATAAAGAGAAAGGTGAAAATGGAGTATCTTAACCTCATGTTAATAACATGAGGTTAATATACTCCAAGGTAAATACCAGCTTTTTTTTACAGATATGTAACCACCTGTGTTCCTTTGCAAATATGCTTATATTGGGCAAGAATAAATATTAGATGAAGATTAGAAACACAATACAGCATTTTGATTTGTATTTCTTTTATGACCAGAGAGGTTGAACCTTTCCTCATGTCTAGTGACCACTCTTACTTCTTCCTCTGAAAAGTCTCTCTTTAAGCCTTTAGCCAATTTATCAATGTTGAGTTTTTTAGGGGTTTTTCCAGGGGAGGGGTTAATTTTTAAGAGCTGAAGGATATTTTAGATACGTGACCCTTGTCTGATCCATAGCTGGTAAAAAGCTGCTCTTAGTCTGTGGGGTTTCTACCTATCTTGTTAGCTATTTCCTGAGAATATGCTTTTTTAGCTGAAGAATATTTTATCATTTAAATGAATATATATACATATATATATATATATATATATATGCTTTTCCCCATTCTTCTGTTAATTAGCATGAGAGTTGCTTTCATACTTTGGCCATTTCAGATAATATTGTAACTGATGGAGGTGCTCATATACTTTTTCAAGGTATTGATGTTTTTCTCCTTTCATATGCCCATAGAGGAGGAGTGCTTTTGACTAGTTTCTAGAGATGGACATTTGAATATATCGAATGAATGACATCTAATGATGTGAAAATGAATTATGTTTCACCAAGTCACAACCACTAATGTGATCAATATTATTGAGGTGTAACTGTAACCCTTCTGTATATCACCTTGACAATAAAATTTAAATTAAAAAACTTAGAGTTGGGAACCAATGCAACAGTGCTATACACAAGACAATATGTTGGAAATGATCTGTACAACTCGGGGGGCGAGAGGGTGTGGGGGAGGGAAAGCAGGAGATAAATGAGAGAGGGGGTAACAAGTTTGACAAGAAATGTACTTACTACCTCTCTTATGCAACTATAACCCCTCTGTACCTTGACAATAAAAAGGAAAATATTAGTTATGATAGACACAGCTGAGTTTAGAATACCTGAGAAACTGCTTTAAAGAACTTGGAAAAATAGTTGCTAGTGTCAATAACTGCTCAATATCATGTAAAGAATTTACAAAGCATGATTAGGCACAGATCCTAATGCTTTTACATAGATTTATCCTGAAATATAATTTTAGATTTCAAGTTTTCACTTGGCCTGTGTTCAAACACTATCAGGCTATTCAAATTATGTGATTTACTCCCCTAAACTATAATTTTTTGAACCAAGTTGTATACAAATGTCCCCCAGGCGGTGTTCATAAAATGACTAGCAGGCATACCACATAGATTTACTCTGGCCCAATATCCACAGGAAACACATAGAAAGGTGAGAAGTCCTAATGAACTCTTCCCATGACAATCTTTGGGTAAAGTTTCATTAGTGCTCCAACTAAGAATTATGATTTTATTATCTGTGATGAACTTAAGGTTCAATTTCTCTGCTAAGATAATTTGGATAAGAATGAACCGGAACTATCAAAGAATATATAGGGATGAGTGAGCAGTTTAATTGGTAAAGGAATGTCAAAAGTACTATAGGATAGTCTTTGATTTGGGATTATATAAACCATGAACCTTAAATCTTTTTTTGCATTAATGCTCTTTACTTTTATTTTTTTCACTGAAGATCTTTCTTCATTTTTTATTGTGAAAATACTGTACACAGGAGTTAAAATTACATGAGCAAGGTAATGAGTACATTTCTTATCAAGTATTGTTGCCTCCTCTTTCTTTCCCCTTCCCATCCCTTCCCATCTTCCGCCACCCATCCCTCCCCCCCCCCCCCCGCACCAAAGTTGCAAAGTTCATTTTTTGACATAACATCTTGTACATCTCATTGTTACAATGGGTCCCTTAAATCTTATTGGAAATATGGAGCACTTACTATATCACACAAAGTAGTGTGACTAGAACTCCAATCATTTTCTCCCATTCTATGACGTTCAGGTTATTTTTTTATTGGAAGAGCCAGAAGTGTTTCATTCTATGAAAATGAATCATCAAATGAATATTTGAAGGGTGGGGAGTCAAATCCTACATATCCATATTATAATGCATTTTGTGTCTATATGCTGGTACTGGGCTTGAAATCAAGGTCTTCTAATCTGGTTTTGCTTCTTTGCTCAGGGCTGGCACTCTATCACTTGAACCACACCTGCACTTTTGAATTTTGGGCTGCTTAATTGGAGATAAGAGGCTCATCAATTTCACTACCCAGGCTGGCTTTGAACCTCGATCATCAGATCTCAGCCACGTGAGTAGCAGGATTGCAGGCAGGAGCTATCAATGCTTAGCTTATGTCTATTATTATCATTACTGTTTTATTTGCATGTCTAATAATGGAGTAATAAGTTATATATAAACTCTGTTACAAGCAAATGCTCGTCGTTAATAAATATTATAATGTCCAGAAGGAATTTGAAATTATATAAGGAATCTCCCCAAAACATTGATGGGGATAAAAATGATACAAAAATCTCTATTATTCTATGATTTGCCATGAAAAACTCATTTTCCCATGACCTGAACTCCACATAAATCCACGCTAAGCAGTGAAATCGGGAAAAACTAAATTTATTTGATCATGAGTCACAAATTTTCACAAAGATTTTATATATCAAATTTTGGTTTAAAAAAAAGCACTATATATTATGTCAACATTACACTTAATAATCCACATTTAATTAGCAGAGGATCTTGAAATGTCCAAACAAAGCTAATAACAAGCTCATGGAAACACTACTTACCTGATTTGAATAACATATATTGTATACATATATGAAAATAGCACTCTGTTCCCATAAATATCTAAAATTCTTATGAGCTTATCAAACTTTCCTTTAACAATACAAGGAATGGAAATACTAAATAATATTTTGATTACTGTACAACCTATATAATTATAATACTGCATACAATAATAGGTAAAATTAAAATAAACATAAACAATAAACATGTAATTGTAAAAATGAAAATGAAGAAAAAATAAAGATTTCAGCAGGAATTTTTTTCTTGCAAATGATAGATTGCATCTGGTGTTCATTTCCATGTTGTGTGGTGTATCTCTTTAATTATGAATTATATTAATCTTACATAAGAAAAGCTGCATCTGGCCCCTTTTAGATGTCCACAGACATGTAAATAATCATGTGACAGACATATTGAAAATTTTGCAAAGATATTAGCAGGTATTTTAAAGTACAGAGGAAGATAAACGGGTTGTTTTTATTTTTATGAAAAATATATCACAAAGCTTTTCTACCAGAGAAACAAATTATTCTTGAATTTGGAAAGTAAGGTTAAGCTTGTATATATCTCCATGTCCATTCAGATTGCTTTTCATACATAGTCTCCTCTTGTTAAACTTTATATGTTAAGCAATGTGAACAGAGTACATATTCAAACTATCCTACAAGTACAAATAGAAAATATTTACTTTGAAGATCAAAATGATCAATTCATATTATGTGTATATATATATATATAAGGAGATAAAATACCCAAGAATTTTCATATTTTATTTTTTTAAAAAATCTGTAATAAACACTATTGATGGTCAAATAGTATTAGCCTTATTTTACAAAGAAACGAGTAGTCTACCATTAAGTAAAATAAATTTAATTGTGGCACATAAATCACTAGTCCCTACAGAATCAAATATATAACCTCCAGATTGATATAGAATATTTTTAATACAAAGCTAAATAACATTCCATTGTATATTTTCTTTGTCCATTCAACCAGTGCCAGACACTTCATTGTATCAGTGTAGTGATTATCCTGAATAATGCCCTGTTGAACACAAAAGTGCAGATATTTTAAGTCCTTTTTCATTTAAATAAATACACAAACATAGAATTGCTAGATTACACAATAAAAACAGGACTGGGAAATGTTGCTCACTTGGTGGCATATACTTATCGATCAAACATGGAGCCCTTATTTCAAGTCCATAACAGCAACTAATAATCTCCAAATTAAAAAAATCATGGCTGGAGGTATGGATCAAGTAGTAGAGTAACTATCTAGCGAGCATGATGCCATTAGTTCAAACCCAGCACCAAAAGAGAGGGGAAAAATAAACTGGAAATTTTTTTCATCATCAACTATTTCCCATATTTAAAAAAAACTCTACACTGGTAATGTCTCATTTTATTTTGCTCTGTTCTGTGTAATTTTCCCTTGTCTTGTAGTAGGAGATTGGATCTAACCAAGCACTACATGGGGGCCTTGAACTCCTAGTCCTCTCCCCACTCTCTTATGATCAGTTAAGATAGAAAGTTTCAAGGTGACTCTAGTTTGACATTTTTTATGTGTTATACGGGAAAAAAAATCAGTGTCTTCATTTCAGCTTCCCTAATTTCTTATAAGATGTAATATCATATAAGATGTAATCTCATATAAGATGTAATCTCATTATTGAAAAGAACCAGTTCTAGGGAATACATTGAGCTGAGTAACCATTTGTAAGAATTCACTGTCTGTCTGATGTTTCTGAATTAAGAACAAGCCTCTTCACTGTGGGAGATTGAAGCCTCCTCCACCCGTGGTTAACTGTCTACACCAGAGTTTGTTCATAGCATTTTTCATCTCTGAATTTCTCAAGGTGTATATCAAAGGGTTCAGCACAGGAGTGATGATCATAAACACGACACTGAGGGACTTGTCGATGGGAAAGTTGGAGACAGGTCGCACATAGATGAAAATACAAGGAACAAAAAAGAGCACCACCACCATGATGTGGGAGCTGCAGGTGGACAGGGCTTTGCGCCTCCCCTCCTGACTGTGAGTCTTCAGATGATTCAGGATGACACCATAGGAGATGAGAAGGAGGATGAAGACTGCCATACAGATGGCGCCTCCATTGGCAACCACTGTGAGGCCTATGACATAGGTGTCAGTGCACGCGAGTTCCAACAGTGGGAACATGTCACAGGCAAAGTGATCGATGACTTTGGGGCCACAGAAAGGAAGATTGTACACAAAGACAATCTGAACCACAGAGTGTGCAAAACCTCCAGTACAGGCCACCACCAACAGGATAAAGCAAACCCGCAGATTCATGATGGTCACATAATGCAATGGTTTACAGATGGCCACATAGCGGTCATAGGCCATCATTACCAGAAGGAAGATCTCAGCACCACCAAGCAAGTGCTCTGTAAAGATCTGGACCAAGCAAGCAAGGAAGGAAATCGTCTTTACCTCACAGAGTAAGTCTACAATCAACTTGGGTGAAACATTAGTGGAATACACGGCATCCATGAGTGATAGGCAAGCAAGGAAGAAGTACATTGGGGACCCTAAGGAGGGACTGGCAATAATGGTCACCATGATGAGCAGGTTGCCCACCATTGTCACAATGTAGATGAGTGAAAATAGGACAAACAAGGCTTTTTGCACATCAGGATTCTGAGTGAGGCCCAGGAGGACAAATTCTGTGACATTGTTCCTCATTGTTTACTCTTGTATGGGGCTTGCATGACAGATGAGGGCTCCAAAGAACAGTTCCTGTCATGAAATTGTGAACAGTATTTAGAATCCAGTGTGCCATACAGAACATTTTCATCACTGTCTTCTACAACGGTGAACACATATTAAACTTTTAGTATCAACTAGATTGATATCCCAAAGGGGCCATGATACCATCCCCTGACATTTCTATTATTCCTCAATGATTTTCTTTAGAACCTAAAGTAAAACAGAGAAATACCCAACAGTTTTCTCATGCATTTAATAAGTCATTGCTTAGAATTTATCACACTGTTGTGTAGATTTCAGCAACAAGAGCAGGGAAAGGCTTCTTGTTGCCTATTTACTTTCTAGTGATGGCAGTTCCTTCTAAAGATGTGAAGAGATAAAGTCACTGCTTCAAGTTTGTAGTATTCATGGATCATGCTGTTCAATATGATCTGGGTAGCACCATAATCAAATAACTAAAAAGAAACATTTAACTGAATAAAGTTGTACTCCAGTATTCGTTAAGGGGCAATATTTTGTATACCAAAAAGTCCAGTCTTTGTGACTTGTTCATCAAATTGGGATAAATACACTGGACTTGAAATGTGACATCAGAGTTCTCAAGCATTTAACATGCTGCTTCCTGGAACAATTTCTTCTTATCAACTTTTTCAGGAACTATAATAATATTCTTTGTAGCTTGCCTGTGCCCATTTTACAATGCACATCCATTCACTACCTTGATTTTCAGCAAATATTTTTAACTAAACTGAACAAAATCATGATTTTTAACAGCTATTGAATTAGCAACACCTTTATTTTGCTGGGGTATTTTTTTCATTTTTTTAATTGTGAAAATACCATACAGAGGGGTTACAATTACATGAGCAAGGTAATGAGTACATTTCTTATCAAGCGTTGTTACCTACTCCTTTGTTTCCCCTTCCCATCCCTTCCCACCTTCCACCCCCCCCCCCCCCCCCCCCCGTCAAAGAGGAAAGAAGGATGGCCAATAAACACATGAAGAAATGCTCAACCTCTCTAGCCATAAAAGAAATGCAAATCAAAACAACATTGAGATTCCACCTCACCCCAGTTAGAATGGCTATAATAAAGAACTCTAATAACAACAGATGCTGGAGGGAATGTGCACAAAAGGGAACCCTACTGCATTGTCGGTGGGAGTGTAAACTTGTTCAACCACTTTGGAAAGTAGTATGGAGGTTCATCAGAAGTCTCCACATAGAGCTCCCCTATGACCCTGCTTGGGTAGTTTTTAGATATGGTAAGACTACTAATAATGATGGAGAAAATAGTAAAGTGAAAGGTAGTGAATAATGATGTATGTTTTTATATATAAGACTTCCTGGGACATAGTGCTCAAAATTGGAAGCTCATAATATTAAAAATCATATCCTAACAAAGGAGAAAAGACCACTTGAATAAGCTCAAAAGTCTTTACATATAAAGACAATGTGATCGAACTACACGATTAAAGAAATCCTCTTCATTCAAATTATTTGCAAGACTAATTTGTGTAGTTCTATATCTTCACATTCTATTAACATCTTCATGTTTTTTAAACTTTAAACAGAGAAATTGCCAAGTTTATCCTTTCTACTAAACAACACAAGCCAATAGTCAATGTGACATATTGACTACTTTAACCACATCAATTCTAAAAGACTCTTGGCTGCTAGTCAATGAAATAGACCCAAAACATCCGAGGAGAGAGACAGGCACCATTATATGGAATCAGGGTCTATGCTGTCGTGATGAAGTCTGTGTGACTTCAACAACTTAGAAAACTTCTCTGACCATCTGTTTCATCATTTTTCTGTGAGGACAAACATAGCATCTACCAATTATGCATGTAAGTACATACAATATTGCTTTGTACCTGAAAAGTCTAACTAAATGATATCTGTCATTAATGTTCTTGAATGCTTTACTATAAAGTTGGATTGGAAAAAAAAAGTCATCATAATCTCTCTCATTTTAACATGAATATTGACATATTTCCAGGGTATATAGAATACAATACCTGTAAATAATGTACTCCATTTGTGGGATAGAATAAGTTTATATCTATGAAGAATATTTATTTTCTAAATGACATTAAGAGTAACATTGACCTGTAAAGAAATCTATTTTATGAATTTTACCATGGAAGAAGACACATGCATAGTTGAAGTATCTTTAGAAGTCACCTATGGGAGCTTGCTTGCTTGCTTATTTGCTTACTTGTCCTTTTTCTTTTCCCTTTTTTTTGTACTAGTCATGGGGCTTGAACTCAGGGCCTGGCTAATGTCCCTTGGGCTTTAGGCTCAAGGCTGGCACTCTATCATTTCAGCCATAGCTCCATTCTGGCCTTTTTGGTAATGTATTGGACATAAGAGTTGGGGAGGTGGGAAGGGAAGAGATGGTAGGTGAAAAACAAAGGAGGGGTAACAATACTCAACAGGAAATGTATTCATTTGCTTACTCATGTAACTGTAACCCCTCCATAAAGTATCTTTAAAATAAAAAATATATATTAAAAAGTCCATGTAAACTTTCAGGACATAATAGACACAGAGTCCCTCATGATTTACCACACTGTAATTGTAAATTTTATAATTCTGATATGTTTAAAGGAATTACAGTGCTTCATTACCATACTATGAAAACTACAATACTCCATAAAAGAGAGTAATAAACCCATTTAAGTATTTGTTTAAATATGTCTTATTTATTATTCATTATAAATATCATTATATGTAATGATATTTGATATCTAATATATTTATTTAGTATATAATATTCTCAATCACATATTTATCATGGGTCAATCATATATGTTATTATATATGTTAATATAATATAGTTTATATTTATTATAGACATATATGCTATGTGATAAATATTATATTATATATCTCAGGGATCACTCATTATTTGTGAAAGATAAACACCAGCAAAATGTCAGGAAAAAATATACTTGTATGTTCTAATTAATTTCTGTGTTTTGCTAGCTTTATTGGCTTAGTTCAGGTGCACATAATGACAGTTGAGATATTTAATCCATTGGTTGTATTTCAGTATAGCATATGAATTTTCACCTGTTATCCATTGTCATTTCCCATGAGCTCACATCTTGGGTCTTGTTCTGGTCTGGAAATGAACACTGCTTTCACTCAGGGCTGCTCAGCCTCTTAGGAAGCTGTGTGTTCACAGAACTTAGGATAGGGTGAGAGGATCGAAAGATGGCTCCAACTGTCCACGGTATTTCCACTCAGGTTTTCCTCATTTGTCTTTCAGAGAAAAATGTCCTTAGTGAACGGTTTTAAATATCAACATTTATGGTAAAGACAGCTGAAGATTCTCATGCATTGGAAAACTTCCTTCATGGAAAACACTTATATTTTTGTGATTAAAACTGACAATTAGTAGAAATTAATCTAGCCAAGTGCATTACTTGGTAGAACTACTAAACAGAAACTTTCAATATTAAAATTAGTGACATAGATTTTCTAAAGCATGAATAAAGTCTTTAGTATGACAGCATTTTAATGGATACCTGCTAAGATCATTAACAAACAATACAAAGATTGGTATTCAGTTAATTGCTAAAATTGATGTTGGATGTTTCTCACAAGTAAAGGAAATGTGTCAATGCTTTAGTCATTCAAATAATCTCTTCCTAAGTAAGTTCTCTTCCATTCTAACTATAAACATATCATCTCTATAACCCATTCCAAATAATAAAAACCTCTATACAAACCCATCTATAAAAAATAATACATACCAAAAACATGCTGTTTCTGGATAAGCAACCAACTGAGAGCTACTCACACCCACATAAAATCTTGTTTTTTAAAAACAAAAATCTTGATGTTTTTTAAAAACGAACTGTCATTTCAACAGGTAAATAACTTTTCCCTTTATTGCGTGCATGCTAGGAATTTTATATCATAGTTATTATTAATGAGAGATGCAGTAAGTTCATTATAGATTTGTTTATTCAATACTTGGAACAAAATCAAATGGATTAGTCTCTGGAGGGTAAATTTCTTTCTTTGAACAATCCCTTGAGAGAAAATCCTTGGCTCCTACCAAGAGAGAGTAGTTACCTGAAAAAGTCATATGAGAAACACATAACGTAGGAATAAAAAGTCTCCACTATCTTTATTAATCATGTATTTCACATAATGAAATGGATAAGGAAGGAACTATTTGATCCAGCCTAAAAATATTTAATCCAGCCCTAATCCCCTTACCTAATTATACCCACTCTACCCACTGTGTGTACCACACTTCCTAGGATGCTTTGAGGCTCAGTGGCACAGTGCCTTTCATTTGAATGAAACATGAAAATACTTCAGTATAAAAGAATCCAGACAGCTCTAGTGTGGCCTTGTTTGTGTTCTGTTGGATAAATGACCAGAAGTGGGATTGCTGGGTCATAGGGAAGCTCTATGTTTAGTATTTTGAGGAGGCTCCATACTTCTTACCAGAATGGTTGAATAAGTTTATATTCCCACCAACAGTATAGTAGCATTCCCTTTTGGCCACATCCCCACCAGCATCTGTTATTGTTAGTTTTCTCGACAATAGCCATTCTAACTGGGATGAGGTGGAATCTCAAGGTTGTTTTGATCTGCATTTCTTTTATGGCCAGAGATGTTGAATATTTCCTCATGTATCTATTCTTACTGCTTCTGAGAAGTTTCTTTTTATGTCTTTAGCCAATTTACTAACTGGGTTATTATTTCCTTGAGGAATTATTTTGGGAGGATTACTTATTTGAGCTCTAAGTATATTTTAAATATGAAGCCCTTGTCTGATTCACATCTGGTAAAAAAAAATCTCCCATTGTGTGGGCTTTCTATTTATCTTGGTGGCTATACCCTTTACCATACAGAAACTTCAGTTTTAGACAATCTCACTTATCCAGTCCTTCTTTGACTTGTGATTCTGGAATTTTACATAGGAAGTTTGAACCATACCCATTCCTG